ACAAAAATAAATAAGTAAATATTAAATAAACGCATGTGCATAGATTCAGTAGATTTTAGTAGATCCATCAATAATGTGCAACCATCAAAACCATCAACTTTGCGACATTTCTGCCAGAGCGGAACAGATGCACCCATTAGCTGTCACCCGTTTTCCACTCCCACCCTGTCTGTAAACAACCTTGAATCTTCTCTCTGTCTCCAGCAGTTCACCTGTCTGGGAACTGGGGGAGATAGCATCTTGCACGGTGGGGTCCTCTGTGACCATTGTCTGTGGTGGGACACAGGAAGCCCTGGTGCAGGCCACAGTTCAGGGCTGGGTACATGGCCTGTGGGTGCCTCAGTGGTCACCGGCGAGCTGAGGTGGTGAGGGACGGGAGCCACTGGGAGGTGGAGAGAGCAGGAGGGCTCGCGACCCCGGCTTAGCAGGGTGGCCATTTCCAGGAGCAGTGAGCACAGCCACGGGCTGGAGGATCTGTGAGCAGGCAAAGAAATTTCAAACCGCTGCTTTCTTTCCCTTTTCTCGATGCAAAAAGATGCAAAGTCATTTTCTTAAAATGAGGGCAGGAGGCAGCTTGGAGGGTGTACAACAGGTGTGAGTCCGATTCTGCACATAGAGAACCCAAGACAGGCATGGCAGTGCACACATGTAATCCAGAATCTAGGAGGCTGAGGCAGGAGGATCTCAAGTGCAAGCCCACCCTGGGCAATTTAGCAACTAGTGAGGGCCAGGGAGAGGGGGAGGGTGCAGCTCAGTGGAAAGGCCCTGGGTTCAACCCCCAGTACTAGAGACAAACAAAAAGAACCCCTGTGGGCTTTCTGGCCACCACACACACACACCCAACAGTCTCCTGTCAGAACCCTGGAGGCCTGGTGGATGCCCTCCTCTTCTTTTCCTAGCAATTGTTTGGTACAAAGGAGTCATCACCTTCCAGTTTTGTTGAGAAACCACCAAAACATTGCATTAATGTTGCATTGTGTTTGACCTGCATTCATTAATAAGGAGAAAATTTTCCCACATCCTTGACAACAAATGTGCACTTTGAAAAAGGTTCACTTTAGCTCTAGTGGTATGGAAGAGTCTATTTTGAAATTTATTTCTGTAGAGGCAAAATTCACATAATATAAAATCAACCCCTTCTAACTGAATAGCACAGTGGCACTGAGTATGTTACTATGTCATCCCAACACTCCTGCTCTCTCCTTTCTGGGGCTTCTCAGCACCCCGAAGGGAAACAGCTTCCTGAAGTCTTTCCCCACCCCTCCCTCCTGCCCAGCTCCCTCTACCCGCCCAGACTCATGGCCCACAAATGAGGTCATGTGACAGGTGGCCTGCACAGGTGGCCTCTCAAGACACATGAGCGCCCTTGATGTCCTGAATTGATTCAAAATCTTTGCTTTTAATGGTCATTTTGACTTTGGGGAAGAGCCAGAAGTCACACAGTGCCAGATCCAGTGAATAAGGTGGAGGAGGCCAATGTCATGTTTTTGTGAATCCTACTTTCCCTTGGGTGGCATTCACCTGGCACTCACAGGGTATTTGATCATGCTGAAAGAAAACACTCCTGAAAGTGGACTTCCAGAACTGCTTCAGAAAGTAATAGGCAAGATGGGATCAGTGGATTGAAGGGAAAGGGAGTATTTTGAAGGGGATTCATGACAATGTGTCTTTTAATGTAAGGATTTCTGAGATTTTTTAAAATATTCATCATATGTTTTAATCATACCTCATATATCCCCAGCCTTTTTAATTTTTAATTTTGAGACAGTCTCACTAAACCACTAAGTTACACACTCTGGATTCACACTTGGGACTCTCCTGCCTCAGCCTCCCAGAATGTTGGGATCACAGCCATACACCACCACACCCAGCTGGGCACTGGATTTATTTCCACATCTTGGTGGTAGGGAGTGGTGCTGCTGTGGGCAGGAGGGCAGCGGTGCTTCTGAAACAGGCCTTGCCATCTCCCCTACACTTGCACACCTCTCTCTCCACTCCTCTTTCCCCGAGACCAGCTCCCTCCTTAAGTATCTGCCAGGCTTCACCCCAACCTCATCCCACGTCCCTCTGTCCCGACCCAGATTCCCTGCAGGGAAGAAGATGCCACTGCCCTCTGAGACGTTTCCAGACCTCTCCAGTGTGCCCATCCAACCTCCTACCCGTGCAGAGGGCAGAGGAGGTGAGCGGAATCACAGCCTCACTCCTGCCTTTTTTGTCCATGCCACCTCTGGCTGCTCCCACACCCTGGGCCCAGCCTTGGGCCCACTTTCCGCTGCTGCAGTTCCTCCCCCAGCTGTGTCCACCCTCACACCAGGCAGCGCAGAGGGGTCTGTGGAAGGAGTCGCTGCCGTGCCTCCTCCTGTGAGGGCTTCTGCTTGCCCAGGGGCCCGCGAAGTTCTTGCACCTTTACATTTTCACGAGTACTGCCAGCCGCACCCGGGCCAGCACCTGGCCAGCCCAGCACCGCGTCTTTGCACACCGATGGGGAAACTGTGTCTAATACTTGTTCCAATTTACCGTCCTTGATTCCTAGCACATAATTGTTTCGAGATTGGACAAAAGCTGTGGTTCTGGAGGAGCGGCTTCCCCCTTGAGGGGTGATTTGGCAAAAACGATGGTTGTTCCTGATTGTCGCATGGAGGGCAGTTGTGCTGGCCTTGGGGCAGAGTCCACACTTTCCCTGTGGTGTGCACACACCCACCCCCCGCACGCGGTAAAGGAGCCCAGAGCGCCAACCCTGAGAAGCCCTGTCCCAAACAAAAGCTGCATCTGATAAACTAGCGCTGTCTCTGAGCCATGACAGACAAAGAGTGATTGCCCTGAAATAACCTGCGTGGTTAGGAGACGTGTCTCAGCTACACCCCGTAGCTTCACCTGCATTGAGCTATCGCCCTCTGGTCCGAGCACAGAAGCCACAGTGCTGCAGTCCTCGTGCACTCAGTGTCATTGGCCACATGTCATTTTGAACTCCAGCCTCAAGTGATCATAACTCTCTCAACTCGCCACCACAGCTGACTACAGATGCCTTCCTGGCTGGATGTGGTGGTGCACATCCGTAGTCCCAGCACTCTGGGAGGCTGAGGCAGGAATATTGCAAGCTCAAGTCTAGCCGGGGTGATTTCGTGACTTAGCAAAATCCTTACTCAAAATAAATAATTTTTTTAAAAGGCTGGGGATGTAGCTCGGTCTGAAGGACCAGGGTTCAGTGCCCAGTACTGCAGGAAAAAAAGGCCCACACCCCCCATTTTTCCCATGATGGATGTGTTTCTCGATCTAGACCAACACCTCCAATGCCTCCCCCACTTTATCCCCTCACCTTTATCCCCCAGGCAGGTGCTCTCACACACCAATTTGATTATTCAACATTTTCTGCTATGTTGTGAAAAGCTGCTCCGCTTAAACTTCCCCAAATCACTTTAAGAGTAAGAATTAACTGTTCCGGAAATAAATATTTATGCATATTACTCCTGACCTCTGCTTCTGTACAAATTATGGAAGGGAAGCACTGCACCAACTTGACAGAAACATAAGCCTTAAAAACAAATTTAATTGCATTTTAAAAATCCCTGGGATTAATGTCAAGGAGTGGGAATCTGGAAAGGACCGTCTTCTTCAGTTTCCTTTAATAGAATTCCACAAATAATCAAAAGAACAAACATTAATAAAGGGACAATAATGAGCCAAAATATTTGTTCCCCCGTATGTTTTGTTAATAATTCCCATGCACACACCAAAACTCATTTTTGGGTGATGGACTAATAAAATGAGATAGCCCACAAGAATTTAATGTGGTTTCCCATTCCCGCTCCTATTTTGCACACAAATGAAAAGTTAGAAGTGGAAGTGGCAGTGGGAAAGGGAAGTGTGTTTTACCCGGATGTTGCTGTATCACCCGTCCCACAGCTGGGCCACAGGGTGCAGACTACTGTCAGCCTGTAGCTTGAGCCCTAGCTGACCATCTAGCCTGCCCTGAGAACACCAGCATTTCTGCTTTTAGAAATGTAAGCCCAGGTGCGGTGGAGCTGGGGAATGCAGCAGCCTCCTGTATTCATCTGTTTTCTGTGGCTGTGACAAATTACCCAAGATTGGCTACTTTATATAGTGAAGAGGTTCACTTAGCTCACAATGTTGGGGGCTAAAAGTCCGAGACTGGACAGCCTCATCCATGTAGCCTCTGACGAGAGATCTGGGGCTGTATCACAACATGGCAGAGAAGCAGGAAGGGAAATGGCAGAATGCAGAAGGGACCAAGTGTGTGGAATAAACTCACTTTATAACAATCCACTCTTGCAAGAACTAAACAGCATCTGAGATAACTTAACCCCTTCCAAGGGCAGTCTCCTCAATGACACCTTACTGCTAGACCCAACCTCTTAAAGGTCTCACCCCCCTCAGCCACACTGAGGCTGGATTAGCCAAAACCTGGCCAGCAGCAGACAGGTTCACCCCTAGGGGATGCCCACCATTGTACACCAATGAGTTTGGGGTGGCTTGTTATGCAGACTAATACACACCCAGGGTGCAAAGGTGAGAGAGTTTAACTTCAAAAGATTTGGGCCAGGGATTTGGCTCAGTGATTCTGCCATCTTCCTCGCAAGTGCAAGGTCCCAAGTTCGATCCCTGGCCAAAAAAATTGCAACTTTAAAAGATTACAGTGCTCAAGTAGTTTGTGGTGGAGCAAGGGAGCAAATTTTCAGAAGGAGGAAGAACAGCAGTGAGAGACAGGTGCTGTTACAGAGATGCAGGCCAGGACTGTGGGGACTGAGGCAGGATGTGGTAGCCTGTTGTTTTTGTCCACAAGTCCGCTCAAGGATCAAAGGTTCAGGGACTCGAACTGAGAGGGCAAGGCACAGAATCACCAAGCAGACTCTGGGGAGGTTTCTGGAACACTTTCACTTTTAATAAGTCCAGCCAGCAATTTATAAAGTTTTGAAAGAGGGAGTGGCAAAGGGGGAGTAATATATTTGGCTTAACAGGATTGGTTATTGGAGTGTCCTTGGACGAGGCGATGGAGGCATCCAACTAGGGGAGATGGACAAGGCCATAGCTGGACATAGACAAGGCCTCTACTAGTGTGCTAGGAGATGAACATGCTGCACTTGTCCCAGCCAGACTTGTACCTTGCCCACAGTAGCCTGCTCCTTCTAGGACCAAGAGTCCTTCCCATGGAGGATGACTTGAGGTGAGAGCGAAGATTTCCCAGGCAGCAAGTGAGGGAAAGGGCCTTTGGTCACTGGCTGGACCGTGAGGATTAGGGCAGGAGCAGAGGAATGGGGTGTGTGCTGCAGTGCACCCCACAGCACCCAGACCAGCAGCCACTCCAAGCTTCTTCTGGAAGAATCCAGTGCAAACCCTGAGTATATTGTGGAAGAGACTGTGAAGAGGTGGAAGGAAAATTCAACAATCAGGACAACAGCAAAGGAAATCACAATCTTAGACCGCATGAGAGCTGCCAGAGGAGAGCCTATCTCCAGACTGTGCCTGAGAAAGACAGATCAAGGGTGCAGGAAGCAGATGGCATCATCCAGACTGACAACGTGACAGTGTGGACAAAGAACGGGAAAGAAAGCAGCAACGGCAGCAGCCAGAACACTCACTATCCGGCTGAGATCTCCCAGACTGGAGAAATGAATGCTGTCAGCTGCGTGAAGAGCCTGCCTCTGTGCCCTGGGTGAGGTATCTCCCACACGATAGCCACAGGGTCTGCTGCTGGGGAAGGACCGGGGACTGTAAACTGTAAACCGCAGTCCTCCCCAAGCCCATGACAACAGGGGGTGGTGGGATCAGGGGACTGGTGGTCCCAGGTGTTGGGCGAGGGGGCTTGAGAAGCAACAGCTTGATCTTCCCGTTTTTCCAGCAGGGCGAGCTATCAAGGTGCTCACAGGAAGGCAATGTGTTGGAAATCCTCCGTCCAGATGCCAGGTACGGGATGCCCACCAGGCTGCAATTCCAAAACCAGCCAGAGTTGAGCCAAGATCCAAAAGCTTCCTTTGCTCGAAGGATGGAACTGTGCCAGGCTTTCTGAAGCTGGGGAGAAGGCACACAGAGGACTGGTGCAGGACACGCTGTGAGCTCAGTCTTCCAGGTGCCACTCTGCTGGTCCTGAGGAGAAAACTGAGCCAGTGTGCTGTGGTTTGGACATTGGGGTCCCCCAGAGCTTCACGTGTCCCCAGCCCCTGGTGACAGTAGGAAGGGGGGATTGTTCGGAGGCAGAGCCTAATGGGAGGAACTTAGGCCACTGGGGGGACATCCAGACCCAGCCCTTCCTCTCTCTCTCTCTCTCTCTCTCTCTCTCTCTCTCTCTCTCTCTCCTCAAAAAAACTCTCTCTCTCTCTCTCTCTCTCTCTCTCTCTCTCTCTCTCTCTCTCTCCTAGGCACCATGAGGGGAGCAGCTCTGCTCCATCACACAGTGCCGCAGTGACATTCTGCCCCACCATGACCCAAAAGCAACACAGCCAGCCAATTATGGACCAGAACCAGAAGCCCAAGTCAACCTTTCCCCTACAAGCTGATGATGGTCTCTGGTATTTTGTCACAGTCACAGAAACCTAAACAACTGGCCAGAACTTCCTGAAAATTTGTGGGATGTGGAGGTTTGTGGGGTTTTGGTTTTTTGAAAACTCATACAAAGCAATAAAAGCCGAATTGCATTTAGCTCCACATTCACCTGATGATTTCCCTGAGGTTTACTGATTCATGGGCCCCTTTCTCTGGAATGTGTAACCCTGCCTCCATCTTGGGAAGGCAGCCACATGGCAATTTTTGTGTGTGTGTATATGTGCCTGTGAAGGAGTTTGGGCAGGACAGCAAGCAGAGCCACTGTCAGGACTGTGGAATGAGGGACTTATGGTCCATCATGGAAGTTACACAAATGTAACGACATGGAGGATTGGAAAACAGAGCTGGAGATGAAAGGAAAGTCCCTCAGCAGTTTCCCGGGCAAGTTGGGTCCTGTAAGAAAGTTCAAGAAGCAGGCGCATGCTGCAGCCACAGTGGCCTGTGGCACCTATGCCCTGTATGGCTGCACACCCTGGGGATCCTTGGCCAGTGGTCAGCAGCTGCTGGGGTGAGGCTGTACCAAAGCAGGGCCCCCTAGGCTGGGTGGGGGAAGGGAGTGGGGCCACTGTGTCCACCCCTGCAACAGATGATCAGGACCCTCTGTCCCATGGGCCCCTCTTCCACCAGCTCTAACTAGAGCTCCGCAGGCAAGGGACTCAGCCCAGGTGGACAGGACATCCTGCACATGAGGAGTGGGATGAAGAAGGGGCTGAGAGGGCCGTATCACTCTAGGACACTATCATTTTGAAGTTATAGGAACAGAATTTATCCCATAAACATTTCTTTCATGAAACGCACTGAAAAATGTTAGGACTTCCCAGTTAGCTGTATGAAAAGCTTGACTGGTTTCCAAAACTCTTAAAAATCAAAGACAAAAATTGGAATGCAAATTTAAATTCAACTGTTTGTTATACCCCAGAGATGAACAAAAACTGGCTTGATGTTTGAAATTCTTGAATCTCGATTTTCCAAAAAGTCAACAGAGGGTGAAGGGAGAGAGAGAGACAGACAGAGACAGAGACAGAGAGACAGACTGCAAAGTGTTTGTTTTTTTTTTTAAATATCAACCACTCAGGCTTCTTTATTGACAAGACTGAAGTAATCTCAAAATCCACTTCCAAACTGAGTTTTCAGTGTGAGTTTATGTTATCCAAATCAATGGCACAGGGAGAACCCAAAATTTCTATACAGCTAACATTCTAAGTCATTTTCCAGACTTGGAGCAATGAAACTAGATTTTATAGAGAGGATCCTAAAGGGAGCACTAGGTTATAAAAAGACTTTTTACATGAAACTGTCACTTTATAAAATAACCACTGATGTTGATGAAATGATACACCTATCATTAAAAAGTCTGGACAAGGACTGTAAAGTTTTTTAAATGAAGCATTAGAGTTTCATATTCGGGGAATGTTTTTTATTTTGCTAAAGCATAAGAACAAAATTCACCATCCTAACCACTTCACTTCCATGGCATTAAGCACATTCACAGTGTTCTCAGCCATCTCCACCATCTACCTCCGGATCTGTTTTCTTCTTGCAAACTAGATCTGCATCCATTAAATACTGACATCCATTAGCCCTCTCGAGGCCTGGTGACCAGCTTTCTACTTCCTGTCTCTCTGGGTTTTACTTCCTCTCAGAAGAATCCCACAGAATCCTCCCTTTGTGTGACTGGCTTATTTTACCCAGCACAAGGCCCTCAAGGATAGCATGTGTCAAGATTTCCCTTCATTTTTAAGGCTGATTAATATTCCATTTAACGTACTTTTTCTTTATCCATCTCAAAATATATATATCAGTGGGCATTTGGGTTCCTTCCACCTTTTGTGGGAATACAAAAGCCTGTTCACGGCCCTGATCTTAGTTCTTTTGAGAGTCTATGCAGAAGTAGGATTTCCAAAGCCTATAGTGATTCTATCTTTAATGTTTAAAGAAACCATCATACCATTTTCCTTGGTGGGATCATCATTTTACATCCCCACCAGCAGTGCATGATCAACTGATTATTTTTTAAAATAAGTTTCGTGTTTTGTTTTTAAGAGATAAGTGTGAAGGTGTAGGTGTGCCGTTGGCTGTAGCGGCCCCCACCCCAGCCGCACACTGTGGGGACAGACACTGTGAGAACAACATTCCCACCAGATGGGGGGGCAGCGAGGGCTTTCTCTTGGTGACATGAATTTTTAAAACAATGAAATTTTGTTGCATCATTTTTGAAATGATGATTGTACCTTATGGGTCTAGTAAGGAGCTGATTAGCTTCAAATCTGAAGAATCCCTGTTTCTTTTTATTGTCCTATTTCGCTTATATTTAAAATTCAGAGCCCCATAAATTTCTGTCTTTAAGCAATGGTCTATGTTCGAGTTAAGCAATGACTGAGAACGACACCATCCAAAATGATGCGATTAAAAACCACTTTAGTTGACATAATGGCCAATTATGCCTCAGTCCCTGAATCACACACCACATGGTCACACAAACCAGAGGATGGACAATCACAGCCACCGGACCCCATGGGCCCCTTGGTGGATGCACTCAGTATGCACTTGAAAGCTTTTAAATGGCCCCAATTTAAAGTAATAAAAACATTTAAATAATAAGCATAATATGGATTTTCTTACTGAAAAGGAAATAGATGCTGTGATCACTTTTAGTCGTTTATACCTCCAGTACATATTTTTGAGCCCCTGTGGGTTTATAGAAACTGGTTGGGAGATGCTAATTTAATTTCAAGCTTTTATCCATAAAAATGATGCTGAAACTGTTCTTAGATGGATCCTTAAACCTAGGCAATGTTTTCTTCTACAGAACTGGATGAAGGGAAAGTCTCTGGGAGCTTCTCTGAGAGTGGGGAGGAAAGTGCTGTAGACAGGTTTGCCCTGGCTGGCCTAGGGGCTTCCGGGCCCAGGGCGCCCTTTGTGGGAGGGGACAGAGAGGGCCATGGAGCTCCCCAGGGCTCTGGAAAACTGAGTCCCCTCCTGAGCCTGGGTTTGTTTCTATTTTCTATTGTTATGTAAGAAATCAATAAAAAACTTAAAGACTTAAAAAAAATATTCAGTTATTAGCCAGCTGTGGTGTTACAGGCCGGTAATTCCCAAACTCTGGAAGGCTGAGGCAGGAGGATTACACGTTCAAGCTCAGACTGGGCAACTCCGCAACTTAGTAGGACCCTGTTTCAAAACAAACAATAAAAAGAGTTGGAGATATAGCTCAGGGCGAAGCCTCAGAGTTCAGACCCCAGTACTGCAAAATAAACACACACACACACACACACACACACACACACACACAAGAGTTCCGTTATTACCTGTCATGGGTTTTGTAAGTCATGAATTTGCTAGGTGATCTGGCTCCAGGTCTTTCATCAAGATAAACAGTGGCTGAACCTTCGAGAGCAGGAAGTTCTGGGGCAGGACCCCATACCTCTCTCACCTCACAGCATCCATCTTCAAGTGGAGCTGTGCTTCCTGAAAGTTCAGTGGGTGCAAGGAGTCAGACACCTGCCCTGGAGACCAAAGCCTGCAAGATCTGGGATTCCAGCAAGCAAGGAGGAAGCTGTGGTGTCATCTGTGAGCTGTGACCTGAGAGGTCACAGGGTTACCTCTGCTGCCATCCTAGGTACACACAAATCAAAAGCCACCCAGACTGGTGGGGAGGGACAATGTTCCAACAGAGAGTGTGCAAGTCCCTGGATCCTCTGCATTGCCAGCAGGTCCTTGAGCTCACAGACCTCTTGCTGGCATTTCCATCCTGCTGCCTCCGAAGGAGATGCTGGCTCGTGTGCTGTCCACTTGGTGGCCAGGGGGGGAGGCTGCCTGAGACCTCTCTGCCCAGCACCTGTATGGCCTTCTCTTTCCTGCTGTCCCCACACCTGGGTGAGGAATGAAGCGTCTCCTGGTCTGGAAGAAGTGTCTCTCCCCTCTACCCCCAGACCAGCTCTGTCTGCAACAGTTTACCCTTGTGGCCACCACACCCAGTCCTTCCCGTTCACCTGATGAGGATGCAGGATGCGGAATCCTTACCAGCACCTGAACTTCCACTCCATTTCCAGCCAACCTCCCCCTGCCTTCAGGAACATCTACCTCCCAGGGCTTAGAGGCTGCTCAACACTTCCATCAAATCTCTCCGCTCGTATTTCGACCTCAGCCCTTTAAAACTTAATGCTTTGATGTCTGTCATGAGCAAACTATGTCAGTAACATAGACCAGACATGGCTGTATCTTTCCACAATGTCTGAATTTATTGGATGACAAATTTACAAGCTACATCAACTTTATCAGTCTTATGAGCCAAGGACTTAGGCTCACTTGGTAGCCAGTGAGTGACACCATCACAGCCTTCTTAAAATTCAACCTGAACTACTAATATCTCTAACACTTGAATCTCTCATGTCACACTCCACACTACAGACCAGCTGACAAGGACTTACCAGTGCTGTAGGATTCCAACAGGCCAACCTGAAAGCCATGGTGGAGAGGTGTGAAGTCACCAAGGGTGGTCAGATGCAATCACAGACCAGGTGGAGCTTGGCCAAGGACATTTGGGGCTTGTGAGAACCACACAGATGGTTCGGAGCTGGAGCTCAGATTGCAGGCAGCCTGCAGATCTCCCTTCCAGCAGGTAGATGGAGTGGGGCTGAAGCTGGAGTTCACAGCCTGTAGACCTCATGACACACTGACCAGGTGATCTGATGAGATCTGGCACCGCCACACACCCAATGTTGGGCGTCCCTCCTCCTACATAACCCAGGTGAAGAGGTCACGTCACTGTTGGTCTGGTACATTCCATAAGTGCATGACCTGGTTTTCTCTGACATAACTCTGATACATCATGGGTCCATGTGGCCCTGATTTACTTTGATGAGTTTACAGGTGGCTATTTTGTGTTAGCAAGATTATCATATTTATTAGTTTACGCATTAGGGTTGTGCTATGCCCCTGGGAAGTGTGTTTTCCATAAGTTTGGTGCTCCCCACATCTGGTGGCTCTCAGCCGGCACAGACAGGTGACCATGCCACCCCACCCCAGCACTTCACCACAGTGGAGCCAGGTGCTGTTCTATGAAACGCAGCTACCGCCTGGAGACCACCCCTTGCACAGTGTGAC